ACCGTGGCTGCAATTTTTCCTTAGACTTATAAGCGATTATGAGAACAACACACGTGTCATTACTAACTTTTAGGGTCCATGAGAATTGCACAAGTTTCGTTACTAACTTATGAGAGTCCATGAGAACCATTTCTCTACTGAAAACTAAGGATCCGTTTGATAGCATAGAATTTCATGGAAAATGCCACATTCGAGGAAAATGAATTCCACTTTAACCGTTTGATTGCAACATGGAAATGAAAATCGAATTCCAAGATAAAACCACTTTAAATTGTAATTTCTTTGTTTTCATGTAAAATGAATTCCTATGGGTTTGATGGGTTTTTATTTTCCAACTAACATGGAATTGGAATTCATTTCCATCTTTACCTATTAAATGAACCCTAATAAGTGGAACTTATTTATAGTATAATATGCACATGACCTCTACAAAAGTTGATAGATATGCTTATACATTTGAGGATCCATTATTGGATGCCGTTGCGTTAAAAAATGTCAAAATAAAGGAGAAATCAATAGAATGACACAAGTGTCTCTACTAAAATGTAAATGGCCCTTGTGTTGTTATGTATGTAAACATGAGTATAAGTGGCCATATCTTATTCGTGCCCGAACAACCAATAAGTGAAACTCATTTACGCTGTAACATGTACATGATACGTACAAAATCAAAATATAAGAGAAATCAATATAACGGCACAAGTCACTGAGATGAAAAATGTCCCTTGTGTCATTATGTGTGTAAAGATGAGTATAAGCAACCATATCTTATATGTATCGTGAGAATCAATAAGTGGAACTCAATTACGTTGTAAAATGGACATGATACAGACAAAAGCACAAAGATCTGTTCATTACTTAATCAACAGAATATATAAGAGATAAATGGAACGACACAAAAGCCGTTACAGAATGAAAACATCCCTTGTGTAGTTCTGTCTATAAACAAAAGTATAAGCATCCATGACCCCAGGCACGGGGTTCTAGTTTATGAATGGAACCCATTTAAGTTGCAAGATGGAAATGTCGTTTACAAAAGTTAAGAGATATGCTCATTAATTATATTCCCTAACGAATCAATACAATGAATTGTTATTTCACCAACTCGTTATATGATCAACCTTTCTGACGTCCTTAAGTTAGGGCGTTTAATGTTTGAAGTCGTTGCATTGGAAAAGAAGCAAAATATAGGATAAATCAGTAGAACTACACCAAATTCGTTACTGAAATGAAAATGTCTATTGTGTTGTTATGTCTATAAAAATGAGTATAAGCATCCACATCCATGATCCGTCTATGCCCCGAGAACCAATAAGTTGAATTCATTTAAATTACAAGATGGACTTTTCGTTTACAAAAGTTAAGAGATATGTTCATTATCAATACAATTTGTTATTTTATCAATTCGTTATCACATAATCTATATAAATTTAGTTGTTCTTTATCACATGATTAACTTTTCTGACTTCCATAAGTTAGGAGGTCTAATGCTTGAGGTCTTCATGATTGAAAATTAGCAAAATATAGGAGAAGTAAATAAAACAGCACAAGAGCCGTTATTGAAATAAAAACGTCCATTGTGCCATTCTGTTTGTAGACACGAGTGTACACCGCTACAGCTTATCTGTGCCCCAAGAACTAACAAATGAAACTCATTTACGTTGTAAGATAGACATGATACTTACAAAAGTAGAGAGATATACTCATTACTTAAATGACTTGAATTGGTAGGAGGGCTTGTGCTTTAACCAATTCGATAAAATATAATTTATGTCATTTGGATCATTCTTTGTCACATGGTTAACCTTTATGTCTTACATACGTTAGGGGTATGTTGTTAGATGTCATTGCATTGAAAAAATCCAAATATAGAAGAAATCAATAAAATGGCACAGTGCCTTACGAAAATGAAAATGACACTTGTATTGTTGTGTGTAAATAATAGTATAAGCAGCTGCGTCCCATCCATGCCTCAAAAAATAATGAGTGAAACTTTTTTACGTTATAATATGCACATAACATGTACAAAAGTTGAGAGATATGCTCATCAACTTAATCGACACATATGAAGAGGATGGCTTGTGCTTTCACTATCTCGATAACATAAAAGTTATGTCATTTCAAACATTCTTTATTTGAATATATATATATATATATATATATATTGATTTTAAGTTAACAAATTTAATTCCATAAAACTCTTATAAATGAAAAAAAATTATTTACTTGCTGCGACATATTCTAGACAATAAAACACAAATACAGCCATATAACATTGATATAATGCATGACATGATCCTTCTATACAATTACTTAAATGCTATGCTGCATGTACCATATTAAAAGAAAAGCACCGCAACAACTCCTAACACTCATAGAAGCTTTCCCTCTACACTTCGTAAGCTACACGTTAAAGAAAAATGCTTCTAATGATTCCTGGCACTCATACAAAAGCTTCCATTAATGGCTCCGACTTAATCAATTGACATAGCAATCCATCCTTGTTTTGTCTCATAACTAACAACAATGCAACACACACATCATTATGACATGAATAACTCGCAAATATAAATTTTTGAAAATATCAAAAGGAACCATAAGCAATCCCGAGATAAAATATTGGTATGTGGGGCTCCATTGAAATAGGTGACAAAAAGAGTATTACGACACTTGGGTTCCTCTCATGGAATAGCACACATTTTAATCATTAAAGATTTTTCTTAATCAATGAGCCATTTTTATCAAATAACTAACACAACCCAAATACAAGCAACAAAATGAAAACCACAACGCAATAACTTAACATTAGAAAGTCATTCTTTCTTCCTTCACTGCTACAAGAATACCCTTTATTCTCCTCATACAGTTCTCTATCCGACTATGAAGCCACATGTACACACAGGATCAAAAGAAAACATCACAACTTCAATATAAAATATAATTTAACACTCCGAAAAGCATATAATTAAAAATCAAATCATCCTACACAAGATCCGACCAATTTAATTAACTCTAAGCCACCAAAGAGTAGCCCTTTTCAATACCTTTCCGTCAAATAAACCCCAAAGACAATACAACATACACATACAAACTTATACACATTTATATCTAAGCATTAAAAATAGGGAAAAAAAATAACAAACCACACAAACAGACACAATATACATATATACACTTATACAAAAATATTAAAATGAAATAATCTAATAAATGATGCCCACAATAAAGTTAAAATTTTAGTAAGCTTGAAATCCCAAAAAATCTGCAAATAGAAGTATAACCATAGATATACACAAATACATGAATGATTATATAAAAATAAGGCGTGTAAGGAAGATGAAATGAAGGATACCCAGATCTGGTTTGGAGTTAAGTTGGGGAGGTTCTTGATCAGGCGACTGAACATTGACGATTTTGGACTGGGGACAGAAAATTGCAAAAATATCAGTGTTGCATTTGTCAAGCCACACATAACATATTCGTAATTCACAGCAATCAAATAGGGTAAGTCCGAGTTCTATCAAGTCAACTCATTGCAGTGAAACTCTGTCACTTCATAACATGTCGGAACCGGCTTATTCTCCGACATGTAATTCTCTTCCATTCACACCACATAAAATCAATTTCATTTCCTAAAATTGCAATAACAACCGAAGAAACTAAATTACAAAATATGGATGACTTTGTGGAGAATGGAGTAAAGAGGTATAGGTCATTGCGCGAAGAAATGGACAAAGAGTGAAAGAAGAAAAAGAAATGGTTAAAATGCAATGATGTTGTGCTTACCTATGAGATGATGCCTTATGAACAGTAACTTGTGGGAATAGTAAAAACCAAATCTCCTCTTTCATAATTGTAGGGATAAAAGTTATATAATTTCAATTGTTATCTGTGGCATGGTCTTTTTATATTATATACGCTAGTAAGTTCATTATTAGATGTCATTTCGTTAAAAAAATAAACTACAGCAGATAAGGACGATAGTACCATTTTACATAGTAGATAACGACTGGAATGACGTTCTACATTCGAAAGAGCAATTGGAATGTCATTATCATTCAACAGACCCAAGCAATATAAAAAACACACTAAATACAAAAATAACACCAACTAAATATTATCTAATACTTTATTCAATAATAAAAGTACAGTTTACATGAAATTTCTAAAAATATATTTTTTCTTTCTTTAAATGTAAATGAAATTTTTCAATGCAGATAAAATGCTCATCAAACTCTTGTTTAAATGCTTAAAAGATACTAAAAATAGGTGAAGCATATAAAAAATAACAGGATTTAGAATAGCAAGCATGATAGATGAAGATAGGAAAACAGATAATTGTGATTTGAGGATCTAAACATGAATTGGGGAATTAATTGAATTAATAAAGGTGTTGGGGTCTTTTCTCATGGTGATGGTATTTATGACATTTGACATTATTCGTTTATTGTATTTTATAATTTGAGGTCATTTGAACAAGAAACATTAATTAACCAAATACGTTGTTTGACTAGACTTCTTAACCAATTCTCCCTTAAGCAAAAGTGGAATACTTGCTTCTATTTTTGTAGATCATCTTGCAATTGTGACACTAGGTTGAGGATCATTGGTACAATTTGCCCAGAAAAATATATATCATAAACATGTGATTAATTCGATAAATTCACGATTATGGTTCTATATATTTATAGCATTCCATACAATTCTTAAGAAAAATAAAGGCTCGCACGTTAAATCACTCAAAAGACAATCTTCCATTCTGACCTGGTTCTTTCCCGCGTTAAAACCCACCCCGCCCCGCCGGCCCCCATACATGATTCCATATTCTTTCCTCTTCACCAACTTCATCTCTCTCTGTATAAAAAATATTCGTTCCTTGTGGAACTCCTCCAACTCCAACTGACCGATTCAACTCCATCATACCTCCTTCTACACCTTCACACACACATCCTCTCTCCCTCTCTCATGTTTCTATCTCTTCTCAATTGACACCGTCCGCCATGATCGCCGCCTTCCTCTTCATCCTTTCTTTATTCTCTGCCCTCTCCCCTTCCCATTCTCAACGCCCCACAGGTAAATCCCATAACCCCCTTTGTCCTATATATCTCTTTCTGTTTTGGTTCAAATGAAAACAGCCCATATAAAACTTTGACATTTGTTGAATTTATGAACTTCTTGTTTATACAATTCAATTTTTCTTTCAGATATACGTATTGATTGTGGCGCCACCGAAAAGTCCACGATCGACGGCATAGAATGGCTGCCGGACACCGGCTACATATCCTCGGGGACTCCGAAGAACGTTATGACAAAGGATCTACTCCAAACTCTTGCCACTGTCCGCACGTTTCCCTTGAAAAACAACCTTTTCAAGAAGTTCTGCTACGAAATTCAGGTAGTACTAGGTCGTACGACGAAATACATGGTGAGGACTACATATTTCTATGGTGGAATTGGTGGTGATAGCAACCCACGGCCACCGGTGTTCGATCAGATAGTTGATGGGACATTATGGGCCGTGGTGAATACAACAGAGGATTATATGAATGGAAATTCTGCATATTATGAAGGAATTTTTAAGCCTACTGGGAAGAATTTGAGTGTGTGTTTGGCTGCTAATACATTTACAGACTCAGATCCTTTTATTTCTTCTCTGGAGGTTGTGCCTTTGTGGGATCAGTTGTACAATTCCACAGACTTCAATACTTATGCTTTGAGTTTAGTTGCAAGGCACAGTTTCGGGTTCAGTGGATCGATAATAAAGTGAGTTTTTAATGCAATTATTTTTGTTGATTTATGAACTTCTTGCTTCTATAAAATTTGCATATTATCTCACGAGTACTTGAAAGTAGAAATCTTTTGGTAATTTTTTAAGTAAATTAATTTTGGGGAAAATCGTTTTTTGCGGACATTAGTACTTGTTAAATTAGGAATTCTTGGATTGTCTTTCCCTTTACATTTTGCTTAAATGTGTGTGTATTGATTCATATCATAATTTGGAATTCTTGTCTATCCCTTCAAATTTTGGAGCCTGTTTGGTAGGGATTTTTGGGGGAAGAATTGATTTTGAATGGTGATATGATGGGAAATGTGTGGTTGAAAAAGAAGAAAAAATTATTGATGTGATGGAAAATATTATTTTATTGAAGAATGTGTGGTTGAAAATGAGAATTGATTTACTGTAGAAAAATCAAAATCCCTCCATTTGAGAATCAGAAACAAACTGGGCCTTGGTTAAAAGTTGTAGCTGTAGCCACTTTTCATACTTAGGAGCAAGGATAAATTTTGCCTCACTTCTCGGTAATGATAGGAGTTGTTTTGTTTCAAGAAATGATATAATCGAAAATATAAACATTGTGGAATCTTACTTAATGCCCCTTCATACTGCTTGTAAAAACTAAAAAGAATGTTTTTTTTTTTTTTTAATCTTCACAAGTTTTTTTTATTTATTTATTTTTTTCAATTTTCNTATTTATTTCTGTCAATTGTCTAACTATAAGCATGCCAAATCAACAGATATCCTGATGATCAATTTGATCGTTATTGGGAGCCATTTGGAGAGAGTAATTCTCCCTCGTTGAGTTCTGAAAATGTTTCTGTTTCCGGTATCTGGAATGTACCGCCGGTGAGAGTGTTTACGACACGATTGGCAAAAGAGCAGCCAGAACCCCTGGTGTTAATGTGGCCTCCAGCATCTCTCCCTAACTCGACATATTACATCGCTCTTTATTTTGCAGATGATCGTGTTTCAACGAGCTCAAGAATGTTGGACATAACCATAAATGGGATAACTTATTATAATAACCTCAGTCTGACTCCAACTGGTGTTGTTGTCTTTGCAAGCCAGTGGCCTCTTTCTGGTTTGACAAATTTAACGTTAACTCCTTCGACTGGATCAAATATTGGTCCTCTAATCAATGCAGGAGAGGTTTTTCAAATGCTGACAGTTGGAGGAAAAACTCTAGCACGTGACGGTATGGTTCAGCTCCTAATATTCTATTACATAGCATGATATCATTTTCAATTGTATAGCCGGCTTTAGATAAGTTCACTTGATCTAAAACTAATAATCTAGTGCATAGCCAACTTTTTTGGTATCATAATTCTGAAATGAAGTTGTTGGCTTTGGCTTGCTTGAATCACTTCTTTGAAACCAGTTCTCTTAATAGTGAAGGAAAAATAAATTTTTTATCATACATTCAACCTCTTGTATGGTGATATTTCTGTTCATTTGAAATTGGTACCTCTTCAGTTATCTTCAATTGGTACTTATAATGTCTCTTTCCTTCTCTTTTCATGAACTAGTTACTTATTTAATTATGAGAATACAAATCTGGTTTCTTCATAATTGCAGTTGTTGCTATAGAAAGCTTGAAACAAAGTTTCCACAACCCACCGGTTGATTGGAATGGTGATCCGTGTTTACCCCGTCAATACTCATGGACTGGAGTTACTTGCTCAGAAGGACCCCGAATTCGTATAGTAACCTTGTGAGTTGGAACTTGTTATACAAATATACATTAAAAATTATAATATCATCCTGAACATCTACTTTCTTCATCATAAGAAGGTGAAATTGCATTCTTCTCATCTTTTTCCTCATTTCTGCAGAAACCTGACGGGCATGGGTCTTTCAGGATTGATCTCGCCAAATATTTCCAAGATGACGGCATTGACGACCATGTACATAAATATTAATCTGCATATATAGCTCGGGAACAATAGTCTGTCAGGAACTATACCCGACCTCAGTTCATTAAAGGGATTGGAAATTTTGTGAGCCATGAGCCTTTTTTATTTTTTATTTTTTTCAGTTGCCTTCATTTACTTTATTGGATAGAGAATGATTTCTTACCAGACAGTAAATAGCCAGATGTTTTTGCATGACAAAGTGACTGTAATGTGTTGAGATATTGACTATTTGGGCATCCGTGTATTCTCTGGACAATTTATGAACATAATTTCTTCCCCTAATACACATTGTCTTTCACTTCAGGCATTTGGAAGACAATCGGCTTGGTGGACAGATTGCCTCATTGCTGGGAAACTTGAAAAACTTGCGTGAGCTGTAAGTTCTATTGCCAGCATTTTGTGTAGCTGAAATTTATGTTTCATAAAGATATCCATTATCGCACTTGGAAAATTCTCGTGTTCCATTAATCCATCATGTGCATTATGTTTGCTATCCATAATACTTTCTCAGCGGTTTTCTCACCATAAACTTAAATTTAATCCCATGCTGCTTGGCAGCAGTCTTGATTGATAGGAATTGGTGGAATGTTTTGTTAGGTCTCCAATACCAAATACGTAACCTTAACTTTTTATACCTCTCCCTGCACGCGGGATATAGTCCTAAAACTACAGTTTTCAGTGGCTAATCAATGAATCAATCCTGATTATATGAATTATGAGGTCCCTAATTGGGCAATGGTCTAACCGAACGAATAAAAATTCAACCAAACTCTAAGTTAACTGCCATTTATTCCACAAATGTGTGAAGTGGAAGTAGCTGCATCCCATTCAGCCAATCTTGCAGAATACTTGATGGGAATCCTATTAGAGATATTATTTAATTTACTTTCCAAATAAGATACTTATTTTAGGAAACTTAATGAGGGTTTTATTTTATCGATTTTCTAGTATTTTTTAAGTTGTTTGCTTTATACTTATTCTAAGAAACATAATTAGCATTTTATTTAATAGATTTTGATCTGCTGCGGCATAAACAGAATATGGATAGTTAGATTTTGATATTGAATAAATTGATATTTTCTTCCTTTAAATTCTCTCTATTCTTTCCCTTGTCTCCCTCTTTCTTTCTCAATCTCGTTCTTGTTCAATTGTATTTTATGTCAATACTTGTATATGATCTTTCATAATTGAAATGTTGCATTAGCTGATATTTTCTGTTATCTTTATTTTGTTTTAGTTTACAAATTTGGAAACGAGCATAGATATGAAATTATGAATATAGTATTCTTCTTTGTTTGCTGGCTATTGGCTCTGACATGAAATCAATTCCGTGTTTAAGAAGGGAGATTGTTTGCTATTCGATAAAAATATTAACATATTCATTTGTGGCATTGTTATCAGTTTCGTATATAACAATAATCTGACCGGCCAAGTACCAAGCAACATTGCTGGAAAACCCGGATTGAACCTTAGGTAATCTTCCGTTAGCTGATGTTTCATTGCTAATTTAGATGATGAATGAATTTAAGTTATTTTCTTTATAGGGTTACTCCTGGGAATCCCTTTTTGATACTGCCACAGTCATGACGACATCATGTAAACTAGTTACTAACAACCACACAAGAGTCCATTACCAAAATTCTCCAATTCCTGGAAGTAAGACAATGGCATTGGCTCGTCCTTCTAACCACATTCATACTGCTTCTTTTGAGAACCAACGCTTGTTTATTGTAGTCAACATATATTCTTTGATTGACAAATGAAAATGTGTGTATATTGTATATCAGCGCGTTATTTATATAGTGTCATTTTTTTAATGATCGTCTCAGTATCACAATTTTTCTCTGTATCACTTACATGTATCTATGTTTTATATACGTGATTCATATTTGAATTAATTTTTTGTTGTGTAGTTAACTAGTTGTGTTACTATATCTAGTGATTAATCTTGTAATTATCATATAAGATTTTCTGCCTAAAATCCTATTTATTGGATGATTTAATCCTTTCAATAAGTATTTATTACATCTTATTATTAATATACGTATCATTACCAAATTCATTTACAAGATGTGCTAATTTTTTTTTCTCTGTGGCCTGGTCATGGTGTTGACTTTGGAAACTTGACATAACCTGTAAATGGCTTCAGGACACACGTTACTGTGTCTTTTTCTTGACGATGTTATTTGCCCCCTGCCAAATCAGCGACGAACTTGAGAATGCAAATACGCCTCCAGAATCTAATCTAACCTTTGATATTGTATTCGTGTGCACTCACGAAGACAACCAAACACAAATGATTGAAGAAGCCCGATACTTTATGTTCATATTCTCTTTGATTGAGTTACAGCTCTTCATTGTGGCTGTAAGATTGAATTTAATTCGAATCTGGCTTTACGGTCAACCAGCTTAATTTCCATAGTTGGATTGCCTGGTTGTTATAGCAGTTGCACCACTAGAGTGCCTCTACAACCTCACTTCTCACACCACATGTGCATGAGAGCTGTGCGAGGCACAAGTCCTCGCATCCTGCCATGCTCAATAGGCTTATCTTTTTCCTACGTAGGACTCTTGTACTTCTAAAATTTTGTTAGTGTTGTCTTTCTCAACGTGGAATTCAATCCCTCGGACCATTCTGAGTTACCACAACGAACTGTGCATTTGAAACATTTCCAATGAGGGATACAATCTTTTCGAAATGTCTCCAACATGAACACATGGAACATACTTTCGTGTTATTTTGGTACTTCCTATACCGTTAGCCGTTGAAAATTATCGCAATTTTCTTTGGAATTTTTATTAATCAAAATTTCCCCAGTTTTTATGTGATGCCACAATATAATAAGTGATAGTAGGACTAGGAATTTTATCCTACACTGTCCTAAAATAATTTTGAATAGATTCCTTTGTGTATTGGATGAGTTTGGCTGGAATCAGAAATTCCATATTCTCTGGATCATGTTTCCTCATTTCTTCCTAGAAAAGCTAAAACAAATAATTAAGTCTTGTTCAAAGAAAATCTGTAGTCTGCTCTTTTTTGCCACTCCGTTCAATTTATTACTAGATTTAGTGTGGGAAAATCTGAAGTAGTTTTGGTAGACCCCTTCTCCTTCAAGGCAATCTTATTAGAATCAATGGAAATTAGTTGCAGAAACATTCATACAAAAGTAAAGTCAGCATCTATATTGTAAATCATAACAAAATTTACTTGAAATAACAATTTATCTAAAGAAAGAACATGAAATCAATTCTGATTTGAGAGAGAGAGAGAGAGGAATAACAACATTTCTAAAAAACATCCAACAAATAGCTACCAGCTTCTTGTTCTTACCTTTCTAGTCTTCCTTTCCTTATGGAGAAAAGGGGAGGCAACGCACTGTTTTTTCCTTGTGTGCAAATAGGCACATTGATCATTGGTCTTATACGCATACTGGTCGATCTTGTTCTGTCCAGCCCTTTCTTGATTCTCTTTACAGTCTTGTCCCGAGGTCCAACCCGTTCTTTACATTCATCGACTGGAGGCACATCGACCAGTGAGCCTCTGGAAGAGGATGAGGAGGAAGATGAAGACGGAGACAAGGTAGAAGCGCGTTGTTTTTTCAACTTTAATAATTCCTTCCATAAAACAGTGCATTTAGGAGGTCTAGGAGAGGGATCATCATCAGGAAACCAACTTATTCTGGTTTCTTCCTTGTTATTCGTATCTTTTCCACCCGTTACCTCTTCAGCTTTCTCCGTTTTGAGGCTAATCTTGTTGAGTTTCTCAGAGTGATGCATTTGCCAAAAAGGAAGCAACTTACCTTCGGAGAAAAGCTCGTCTGCAGTTATCATGTTTTGGCTCGTTAAATTCGCCGAAAGAAACTCAAATTCCGCGTTAAATGCTTTCTCTCTTTCTTTTTTCTCTGCCTGAGTATTTGGACATATAGAAATGAAGTTATTTTCATCAAGAAAATCAGCAGAGAACGAAATCCGGGGACTTGAATTTGATTCAGTGCATTTAGAGCTACCCTGAACAGTTTCCACGGAAACCATTTTAGAATGGAAAGAAAAGAAAAGCCAGAAGATTAAGTGAAGTTTTGGGTTATGAATTATTTGTGTTAAAACATTTGCATGAGGTTTTATGCTTTATAAAAGGAGGGGAAAATGGAGATTCTCTATTGTTTCATTATAGTTTTGATCAAAAGTTTTTCTTGGTAAATATCTGGACGGTGAGAATATAAAAAGTAAGTGGTCTGGTGAAGCTGAAACAGTGAACAAAGGTTGTTTATAGAATATGGGAACAGCACATGGACACCTTCGTGTTCAAGACAAAACCCTTTCAGCCATGCCATTTTACTGTATTTGTGGATTCATGGGGGCTTACTTTACCCTTAACAGACCTCTTTTAACTTGTTCTGCAAATGGATGCTTTCTTTGAGAAAATCAATATTAAAGTAGAATGTTCATTTGAATTTTAGAAAGATCGAATTACTCGTTTGATCTTGTTCATGTCTGGTACTATATTATTGACTTTTAGGGTTTCATCTTAAAATGTCAACTTTGTTAATTGAAACAGTTCAAATCCTTATATATTGATCATACTTTTCGTATTCACGATGTGACATTTTTGCCATAAAAGTGATTGTACGTGCCTAAAATTAACAATAAAACAAGTTAAAAATTAGAGCCGTAAATAAAACTAACACGATTTGTTTTGATTTTGGAGTCTCTATTTGTATTACATACACGTTACAACGTAAGACAACAGAGGGAAAAAAAATCATATAACTGACTTTAACGCATTTTAATAAAATTAATTGCCCACAATAAGTGTAATCTAAAAACGTGCAAGACAATAAAGTGATGTAGCCTCGATTTTACAAGTCAAATTTATTATTGGCCACCCTATCTGTCTCTACTGCTATTGAGTGATCAATAAACTGCTGCTGCTGCAATTCTTGAGCTGCATAATGAACCAACAGTTATGATATAAGAGACTGCTTTTGGGTGCTCATTAGTGTTGCATGTCGCGATAAATTTCTTCAGTTTCAATACATTTGAGGTCGGCTAAAGCCTAAAGTGAGTTTTATTCTTCTACGAGTAGGTCTAAAGTCGTTATATGTTACTACTCTATTCAATTCATTGTTAGATTAGATCTATTGAAAGTTCCAAAATCACTACATGTTTCTCTATGCGTCTTTCTTAATAATCTAGTAGCGATATTCTTTCTCAGGCATTTGAGATGTCAAAATTTCTTGAAAACCAACAATTTTTATTAAATAATTCTGTCTTGATTATTGGCAAAATGAATTATTAGACATGGATTAGTCAAAGGGAGATAAGCTGTTCTTGTTCTGACCCATATTACTGAGATCAAAATAACATGGAAGGAGTCCTAGGCATGTGAGCACATGAAACTCTTTTCATGCCATGTGATAAGACTGTATTTCCCAACCAAAATCAAGAACATGTATGTATAGGATTTGTGAGTTTACATAAGTACCCTTTGGAGAGTTCAGATTTTTGTGGATAAACTGTGTTTATTTTTGAAATTTGGGTAAGGAGTTTTTTGTCATTATGTAATACAATTTGTACTTAATCATGCCTAGTTCTTGAAAAGCCTGGATTAAGATTTGGAGAGCTAATGTGTATTAGAGACAGCTAATCAACCTTGGGTAAATCTTTTTGAATGTTGTGTATGTACTGTCATAATTATTATTAATATTAATTAAGCACACTAGATTACAAAGAATAGGTGACTCTCTCCATAGGTTTGATTTCAATATATATATATATTAGAGTTGGTACAGATTCAACTTTTGAATTTCAATGATATTCGTTTATGAATGAGAGAATGATTTCGACCAGCATGTCGAAGACAATATTTAAATAAACATGATAACGAAAGTGATAAAGATTAAGCATTCAAGTTTTATTGCTCGTTTACGAATACTGTGAAAATGTCAAGTAATTGACTAAAAACGAGTTTAATGTGCATGAAAAAAATCGTTGAAGACAAAATTTAAAGACACGCGGTATCATATTCAAGTCTTGCCATCACTCATTTAGAATTTTGTGCATGTACGGTGTATTTTGATTACGGAATGAACTCAATTTGTACTCGAGAGACTGCATCGAAGATCAAATTTATACAAACATAATATAAGAACAAGTTAAGATTTATGTATTCAAATCGTTCCACATCTTATTATTTATGAGTATTATGCACGCGTCAAGTATTTAATGAAAAATAAATTTGATCTACAAACAATGAAAAGAAATATAAATAAATATACATTTAGAGTAGGCATAGCATGTTTAAACAAGTTTCACTTCTAAGGTTATCAAGAATCATTAACTTATGGTAGACTAGGAGGGACTATATACATGAATCATCAATGTCTTCACTTTTACTTGCAAATCAGTGAGGGATTTTGAAAGAAAGGTCACAAAATAAAGATACTAAAGCAGACTGCGGCAAAGACCAGACAACTGAAAAGGTAAAATTTAAATAAGAATTTAAATCTGCAAAAAAAAATAAAAAAAATGAGTTTGAAATAACAAAAGAAGTGAAATAACTGCATAATCCATAATGTGCACAAATTATGACACCTAAAAACCCGGGAAAGATCCCTAAAGCGAGCAATGTGCTTCAAATTGTGGACCATTTGTGCTAATAATGATTAATATCTTCTTCTTCTTTTCCATTTGACAGATTTTTTTTTTTTACTTCATATAATTAAGAAATGTATTCTTATCTTATCAAACGTGAAGTTCAATTTTTATCTATCGTTCAGTAACTAACTTCGCTTAACTTACACAACAAGTACTCACTTAATAAAATCCTGCATCCAATTTCTCGCCTATAATTTGTATACATGAGATGTAAAGAAATTCCCCGATCCTTTTACGGATACAACTTGACAAATATGGAGTTATTTTGGTAAAAATAGACTTCGACATTGTTATGGTAGTTGAAAGTTTTTCCTTTTTCTTGAGGATTGGTGTCAAGATAAGCCTAGCTGGTCATGAGTGTGTGTGTGTGTGTGTGAGAGAGAGAGAGAGAGAGAGAGAGATTGTTGAATTTGGTTAGGGACTTGAATAAAAGGACACTGAGACTTGAAATGGTTGGATAATAAATAGAGGGCTTTAAGAACATGACCGTCTCAAATTTAAAATTAAATTATTACCGGCTAAAGTGACTTACTTGTCAAACAATTCATTAGGGTGGGTATGTCTTCATGAAACCTCTTGAATTGGACCGATGACATTATTCAAAAATCACTATTACAAAATCTATTTTCTTAAAAAAAAAAAAGGGGGATTGAACACACCCTCAGTTCTCATCGCATCATACCATGTCTTCCTTTACAAGGTATTTTATTTTTATCGTGCACAGATTTTACAAATTCGGAACAAAATATCTTTTCCATTGTTTCATTTATTGAAGGGCTCCACCTTGCTGTTACGTTTCAACTTCAACTTCAATTCATGTTAGTTATGGATGTAAAGGAAAATAGATTTTTCAAAGCGAAAATCCCACGGCCCCACGCCCCTTTAGCTGCCAATAATTGAGTCCTTAACCCAATGACAAGTGCAATACATACATGAAACACTGCAATTATCAAAATGAACAATGCATTAATGTATGACTGTTGTTACTTGTCTGTGTGAGACAAAGAATGAGTACGTTTTTTAGTTCGACTTCTCTTCTTCTGTTTTACGTAATTTCGTTGAAATTTGATTGCTCGTGACATTACTCGTCAAAAGTACAGACAAGTGGAGTCGAGTTTATCTATTTGACAACCCCTTTAGAATAGTCAAATTCACTTTTTATTTATACATCTAGTTGATTCTCAATTTATTACTAACTTTTAGCCAAATATAAGTGGAACCACACTTTAAATTTTAGTTTAAGCACCTTCATATATGCAGTAATGTATCATATGTCATTTTGTCATACTAATTTATCAAAATGTTAGATAAATATTTTGACATGTCGTGTACATATAAAATTGTTCATTGTCTATTTATGTTAAAAATATCTAGTTCAATCACCAAATGTCACAAAGCGTAATCAAATTGGTTTGGTTTTATTTTTGATATAGTAGAAGTGACAATAGAGAATATCTCTATCACTTATTATGCGATAAGGTTCAAGACTTTGTATGATATAACAATGAGAAAAAAAAATAGTAGACACGTCAGAAACCTGATATTTTATATATAGCTCCAACCCGTCTCCTCCAGGCTGATGCGGTCGTAAGCCTCGAGATCTCGACCTAACAAAGCTGGCTATGGCACACTTGTGTATATTTCATTTTAATTAGTTTCGAAAATTGGATTGTCTCTAATTTGGTTGATCATCTTCTGAACATACGTTCAAATAATGAAGTCCACATTATTGAAAAAAATTATAGAAGTTGAATCTTTTCAATCCAAAATATAGATATTCTTTGGAATCAACGATTTCATTGATCAAGAATCATTTCTCGATATTCATGTGCGAATCAACAAGTAAATTCTCAATATTCGACGAGATCAACGGAGTTTTGATTGTGCTCTTGATTTGATACACGCTTTGGCCTACATCACCGTCTCTACAAATAAAGAAGATGCATAAAGGGTATGAACTCTCAAAAAAAAAAAAAAAAAATTCTCTTCATTTTTATCTTCTAGCCAACACGTTAAAGATGGGACCATAGTGTTCAATTTTTCAAAATATTATGATGGAACATAGCCTTTCCAATATCCAAATATCAATTGATTTTATTTAGCTAAAAACACTCTCTTTCATTTTTGTCTTCTAACCACCACATTAAAAATGGGACCATAATTTTCAATTTTTCAAAGTACTATGATGGAACATAGTGATTCAAATATAACTTGATTTATTTGGCTAAATTGCACACGCATGTACGAACTCCTAAGTGGGTGTAATTTAGATGGACCAAAACACAAAATTACAAACTTATGTGACAAAGCACAGACATAAACATCTATAATTCATATGTATCCACCACATAATTTAAAACGAAATTATTACTAGCCAT